TGGTCTGTTCCACAGTCAGCTCCTGGCCTTGTTTTGGCTGAAGATATTGAGCTTCTCCATCGCCTCTTTCCACAGACGTAATCGATCTGATTCCTGTGTACTCCGCCTGGTGAAGTCCATGTGTATAGCCGTTATTTCTGTTGTTGAAAAAAGGTGTTTGCAATGAATAAGTCATTGGTCTTGCAGAATCCTGTCATCTGTCACAGACAGGTGGTGGATAGCCCACAGGGGTTAGGATTATAGGACATATTTGGGGAGGACGCAGTTGAATCCCTAGCGCAGGCCTTCGTTCAGAGCACTGGAGAGCTGAGGAGCTGCATTGTCTGACGAGCTGTGTCTGGAGGGAGGGGACAGGCCAGCACATTGCAGAGCCACCACTGATGTGTTGTCACCCCCTGGTTCCCTGGCTGCCTCTGCCAGGGTTTGTCAGACAGACAGGAGAGCACGGTGCCCATGAGGTTCAGACACGCAGGCCAGAGCAGTGTCCAATTGGGACAGCTCGGCAAACACGCTGGCTGGCTTAGGAGGTGGCAGGAGAAGGCGAACCTTCTTCTGTTGTGACCTCATGGGTGGAGACCTAGCTGCCGACTCAGAGTTCCTTTTTTTAGAGAATCTTTGATCTCTAAAAAACAGTCCAAAAACCACCTAATGGCAGTATGTGTATGTACATGCGTAGGCATGTACACGTGAATGAATGAGTGAGTCACCAAATACGCTCCGGAGGAAGCGGGGTGAGGAGATCCTATTAGTTTGCACGTTCAGTGCTCATAGGTGCTTCTGGGAGCCGACAGAGTATGTCCTCGCAGTTAGAAGTGCCAGCTCTGGGCTCAGATCCTGACTCTGCCCCTCACGAGGTCTGTGACCTGGGCAAGTAAGTGCCTCATGCTCTCCATGTCTCAGTGCCATTGTCTTCGACATGAGAGCAGTGGCACTGTCCAGTGCACACTCTTGCTGTGAGGACAGAGCACTTTGAGCAGCAGTTGATGTGCACCAATGCAGGGGACCTGCGCTTGGTAACCACGTGGGCTCTCCTGACTCAGAATCGACTCCGAGACAGCTGGCTTGGTTTTCTGAGCCTCGGGTGGTGGATTCTGCCATGACAGCTGATATCTTTGCTCCTTAGCACTGCTTTTAAATGATGGAAAGCATCTATTACCATGACATCATGATGCCTGTGTCAAACACAGGGCCTTTGCTCTGCACCCCAAAGTGATGTTCTGCTAAGGCCATTTCAGCGAACATTTCCTACCTCTGTCGTGCTATCTCGTTTCTATTAGCCAACTGTCTGTCGATAACAGTTAGCTGAAGTAGCAGAGTGCCTGGCAACGGTACAGAGTAAATTCGGGTGCAGCAGAAAGAGTTCTGACAACAGAAGAGATTAAAAAGGCTGTCATCAATTCACCTGGCCCAGATCAGGCCCACGTAAATCCCAAAAGGCAGGAAAACCAACATTAATCTGCGTTGGCCACCTTTGCTCATTAGACGTGGGGACTTCTCAGCTATATAGCAAAGGGACTGGACCCGCTAGGGACTGAGAGAGGTCTTCGCCCATGCTCCTGGGTGGACGGTCGATGCAGGCACACACAGGTTCCTCCGCACCCCCGGGGAGCCTCCCTACCAAGGGGCTTCCGTCCCCCAGGTGCTCGGGGATTCGCAGCGGTCGGCGGGGATGAGATTCTCGCCAGACAGCCATCTTAGTGCCCAGAGGCTCAGGGTTTGTGAAGTGCTGTCTGTCACATCGTTCTGGTTGTTGGAAAGGTCTTACCACGTTGAGCAGAAAAGCCCTCTGATGTGGGCACTGCCTTCACTCACATCTTCCTGACGAGGAGGTGAATTACGAGACCTGAAATGACTCGCCCGCTGCCCGGGCGGCACGTGCTGAAAGTGGTGCTGCCGCGGACAGGGCCGCGAGGGGCTTCCACCCTGAGCCAGCAGGGCCCGTGTGCAGCCCCCCGAGGGAGTGTCCAGCCCAGCTGTGCCCCGCTAGGTGGACCGCAGGCAGGACACCGGGGCGGGAGGGTCCCCTACGGGGCACCGTGGCCAGCCCCCAGCAGGTCATGATGCTGCTCAGCCTGACACTGCCCTTCCGCCATCTGGGGAGCTTGCCCGCTTGGGGCCCTGTGGCCGCCGTGTGACCTTGGCCAGGAGGCCTCCAAGTGGCTGTGCCTCCATTAGGAGCTCTATAAATACCTGCTGCTTCTCTTGTCCAGA